TTAGCAAAGCTTTTGGTCCCTTTTAGATGTTTTATTTATTTTTTATTCTTTTCTCCTTTTTCTTATTTTCTTCTTCTGGTTATTATTATTATTATTATTATTTTTTAAAACTGCTTTTTGTTTCTAACCTGTAGCACTTTGAGATCCTCTGATGAAAAGGGCATTATAAATAAAATGTATTATTATATTATTATTATTATGCTATTTTTTCCCTCAGGTTTTTGTGGAGTTCTTCCTTATCTGAAGGGGTCTAAGGATATAAGATGACACATGCTGTACAGACTGTAAAGTTCCTCGAGACAGTTTTGTGATGTGTGATATTGAGCTTTATTTAAACTTGACATGACTTTTGTTTCATATCCTGCTGTATAATGACAGTTACTCCCCATTTATCTGCTGGTAGGATGGTTATTTATTTTTTTATTTAGACAGAATGCAATACAATGGGTGACTTAAAAAGGTTGACACAACAGCGCGAAACATGTACTTTCTTTTCCAAAGTTTATTATTGTTTTTACTTATGCTGGTTAAGGCAGGGGGTTTCCCAACCCCCTTGGGCTGTTCATATTGATTGATTTAAGTGATTTTCTATTCACAAATTCCTAAATACAACAGGAGTTGAAGGAGAGGACACAAAGCCACCCACCCAGGATGATTTAGTTATATATACAGGCATATTTGGTTAGCAAACATTACAACATCTATAATATATCAGCCACCACGTGTTCCAGTGAAGTTTCGTATCAATTCTGTGGAAGTCACACCTGATTTGAGTGGGCTTGGCAGAACTTCCACACGCACACATTTAAGTTCAGATAAGATACCCAGTAATCAACAGAACATTTATAAATCATTTATTTAATTGAATAGTTTTTATTTTTATGTAGAATGAGAATTACATTTTGTCAAAAGCTGCAACTGACAATTTAAAAAAAGAAAAGAAAAAAGAAAACCATGACAGAGATGGGTTTGCATTTTCCATGGCATTTTATAGCACTACTTCCAGGGGGAAATTGGAATCACTTGCGTTAATCCTAAAATAATGACAAAGTAATGAATCAGTACTCAGTAACCACTCAGTATGATGCACCACTTTACTTTTAGGGACCTCAAATACAGTAACTAATACTTAGTAATGATGAGTTGCTTCTAGTTTTGTGCAATTGATCTGGTTTGGATTAATAAAGTGGTAAGTATGATCGTTTCACAGATATGAACATGAACATGAACTAATCATTACCTAATAATTCATTAATATATAGGATCTCCCAGTCGGTTCTCTAGTAACTGATCAATATCTACTATAGTCCTTCATTAGGAATGATTGAGGAACTACTTATTTACAATTCATCAATTATCAAGTTGTTCCTGATTCGTTCAGCACTTGTTTCTTAATCTATTAACTAATCATTACCTACACTATAAATTTGAGTAGGCTAATGGTTCACAAGCAGTTAGCTCTTCATTTGTTACTGTTTTGAAGGAATATTCACTCTTCTACATCCTTTGAGTTGGAGGGTCCCACACAAACTTACGGGTATGACTGTGTTGTCTTTTGTATGTCACAGTAGGCATCCAGGTCTAGTATTGGCTAGAGTCAGTTAGTATTCTGGGTCCCTCGGATTTCTTATCTTAACTTAAATGTGTGTGTGTGTGTGTGTGTGTGTGTGTGTGTATATGTGTGTGTGAAGTCCTACCAAGCACAGTCAATACAGGTGTGACTTCCACAGAGCTGAATAAAAAAACTTAAAAATGATTATTTATTAAAATAAAACTTAATGGGAGCATGTAGCATGCTGAGAGTAAAACCAGAACTGTCCTGGCTCTGTTCCAGAATATTTATACATCCAAACATTATTGATCTATGAATGTTTAGATAAAGACAATCATTTTCAATTAATCTAAGCATTATTCTATCTATGCATTATATGCATTATAATGGATATTTATATTATTGTAAAATGATTTGTCTTGTTTTGAAACAATCTACATATAAAATATAAGACTACCTCATATTACAGCACCTTTAAATAGCCTCTTTGTGAAGTCAACCTTTGCTTACGGCCATACCACCCTGAACACGCCCGATCTCGTCCGATCTCGGAAGCCAAGCAGGGTCGGGCCTGGTTAGTACTTGGATGGGAGACCGCCTGGGAGATTCTTCTCTTAGCAAAAGGCAGAAGCTGCTGCTTCTTCAGTGTAGCTCTTGCTTACAGCTATACCACCCTGAACATGCCCGATCTCTATCTAAGCTTTTTCATTTCTCTGAGCATACAGCAGAGGCTGCTGCTTCTTCACTGTACACAGAACGTTGTTCAGATATTTTTCAAGACAGTGTTGTTGTATGATATGTAAGCTTTCCGTCTAGATGGAATTCATTTGATTCTACTATTGTTATTATTGTTGTTGTTGTTATCACTTGTCCACTGCAGGATAATATCTAAACTTCATTCATCAGGACATGTTGAATTTTTGTCCTGCACACCCTGTTAATGAATTGATTTGGTGGGACCTGATTTTGGGAGAGTTCAAGTCAGTAAATGCATAAATCAATACAGAACTAAGTTGGTCATCAAATCGTAGGTACATAAATAAACGTCTTGAATGTATTCTCACATTCACATACACATAGACTCTAATCCGACAGAAAAACAGCTGACAGCAAAGTGCTGGCTCACATGTACGAGTTGAGGGAGGAACTGAAAACCTTTCAACTGATGAGAAGGGTGATGACCCAAAGCTGCTTGCAAGTGACGAATGGTTTGCAATGCTTGCATACATTGTCAACATTTTGCTATATGTGAATGAACTGAATACACAAACACAAGATGGAAACCAAAATCTACTCACAAGCACAGGCAAAATAAACAGATTCTGTTTAAAGGTCTCCCTCTGGGAATAACATCTGTAAAGAGCCACTCTGGAAATGACAAGGACATGTCAACACTGCTGCATAGTGTAAGATAATACGTAAACATTTTCTCAGCTCCCACGGAATCATTTGACTGACTTAAAGGCCTATATATTAGATAAAATGGTGGTTGATTCTGTGGTGTACATTGACATCTGGTGGTGAAGTTTAGGTATTACACGCGCAGATGCACCAGTCTGTACAAATGCAAGCTTTCATGTTTTTGAACTGTACACTAAACTGAAAATGTTTCTAACGCCAGAAAACCTGTTCATTTTACAGGGTAAGGGTGTGTTTTTTGTTAAGAATTCCTACCCATCAATAGCAGCAACCCATCACTGGTTGCTGAAGTGGCTGGATCGAAGCTATCTACTTCCCTGTGAGTTTGTGTCCTTTGTGCTGGTCTGTCTGTGTTTACGTTCCACCGCAGCCCAACGTGCAGGAGGCACAGTGTGAGTCACCTAGCAGATATTGTTGTGCGGAGCGGAAAAAACCCCGGACTCGGCATGCATTATATGCATTATAATGGATATTTTATATTATTGTAAAATGATTTGTCTTGTTTTGAAACAATCTACATATAAAAATATAAAGACTACATCATATTACAGCACTTTTAATAGGCTCTTTGTGAAGTCAACCTTTGCTTACGGCCATACCACCCCTGAACACGCCCGATCTCGTCCGATCTCGGGAAGCTAAGCAGGGTCGGGCCTGGTTGTACTTGGATGGGAGACCGCCTGGGAATACCAGGTGCTGTAAGCTTTATACTTCTCTTTACAGACAGCAGAGGGTGCTGCTGCTGCTGGTGCTGCTTTTGATCTCCTGGATCTACAATTGCATTGAACTCTGTTTTAGTGCTTGAACACAAAATAAATCAAGTTTCAGATTGAATTTATTAAGAGGCTAAATAAACATCAAGAGGTGAATTTACAAACGGCAACATCCAGAGAAAAATCAGCCACAGAGGATACGGCCCGTGTGTGTGTATGAGTGTGTTTCTGTGTGTACTATGTGTGTGTCAGTGAGTGTGTGTTGTAGTTTCCTTCAAGAATTTAAATATTTACCTGATGAAATAAAGTAAGTAAGTAAAATTTCACTTAGTATAGATAGCGTTTCTGTCACCTAAAGACGAAGAGTTTTCCTCCTTCGAGGCCGGATTTGAACCAGCGACTAAGGATGTCTTGTGTTAGAACTCTACCAGTCCTCCCTTCAACTGACTATCGTAAGGGATGAAGCACAACCAAACAAGTAAATAAGTGCCTAAATGAACTTGTAAAAAACGAACCATACACAAACTGACTTCCTTTTTTCACTTTCAGGTTAATCATGGTTATAAACAGTGGTACTATTTTTTTGGGGCAAACTTGTATTTTGTTTGTAAATCAGAAGTTGGTTTTCAAAATTCAAAAATTAAAATATTTTATTCTCGCTGACCCTGGTTGTCCTTTTAAGTCAACACTTGTGTCATTGCCGCTGGCTGGCAACGTGGCCCTAGATTACGTTTGTTTAGGGCCCCAGACTTCTCAATCCTCCACTGTCCTCTCAAGTTACCAGGCCAATGAATATAAAGCTCAATATTCAGGAACTAACTTATTTTAGATTGCTTACTTAAGTGGTCAAATGTCTAATTAAACTACACCCATTTTGTTATTCCAAGCCCATTGCCTGTGGGGATGTAAATTTATATTCCTGGATGTACAGTTTATTTTTTTGTGCCCTTCTAAGCCTTTCCTCAAATTGGTCTCAGTTTTCTGCGACCTTTATTTGACATCATTCTGTTATAAAGCAATAATGCTGTTGTGCCTGATAACTGGTGTGTAGCAGAGGCCATTGGTAGTTAATTGTTTGGAAATTTAACAAAATGTAAACTTAATTCTTCACTAAAATAGTGAGGGAAAAGTTTCAGGTATCTATGTCATCAACAAGGTCTATTTAGTAGCTGTTCGGGAGCTTTCCACCATGTTACATGTTCTTTATTGGCAGATTTAAAAATAAAATGTTCCACTTCGGACGATGAATGTGGTGACATTGTTTCCTCAACCACTCTAACTTAAGAGAAACAGATTAACCAACCATCAACAGTGAATGGGGTTGAAGTCTTTATTATAAATCATTTACATTACAAAGTAAGACATTAGTCATTTCCATATCCATCCAAACAACCATCCACAAGGAGGGCTTAGTGAATCAGCTGGTCAGAAGGAGTTTCCTTGCCCAGAGGAGGGGGTTTATTTTTAGTCATATTTCAGCGTACAGGAGGATGTTGGCACAGGGTTAATTGTGATCTCATTATTGAGAATAAGCTTGTTGATCCACACGGGAACACACACGCACACACACAGAACGTCATCAGCCTTCAAGTATGAGTACACAACTGCATTGCTGCTTTTAGCTCAGGCGTTGAGCCAAGGATGGCAAATGAAAAAGCACGAGAAACAGCAGACGGATGAAGCAGCAAAGATGAGACAAAAAGATGAGCAGGACAGGCAGCAAGTACATTTCTTCTGGTTCTGGACCTTTTTAGACCGATGTGAGACTCCTCGTGTTCTGTTTCGGGGTTATTCTGTCCACTCCAAATCTTCTGAAGAAGTCAATCCACCGGCAGATGTGACCCTTTCCCCGCAATATCTTTCTGTTTGAAGGCTTTGCATTGTGAGCTGCCCACTGGACAGGTTTACTGAGTCTGACACACTCGACCATTCTGCAACTGATCCGACCCTCATAGTCGACTGGACCAAGACTAGGAGATGAAGTAGCCTTCAGAAGTTAGCTTCAGTGGCTTGAAGAAGTCTGGAATATGTTTTTTTTTGGCCTTTTCCCTGCCTGTTACCAAGTTTTTTAACACTTTTTTTCTATATATAATCTTTAAATAAAAATGGTTTATAAATCATCTACAAACCCACATTTTCTATAAATTACACAATTTGTTTAACCCAAACGGTTAAAGCAACAGCTGAAATTTGCAGTAGAAAACTCAGGGATAGAGAGAGAGAAATGACCTCTGCATCCAGCAGTGACAAAAGGATTGGTAGAAAAAAAAAAAACATCTATACAACAGCAAACTGATTTCAAAATTTAGCCAAAACAAGAGATAGACGGGTCCTTTTTGAGTTAGAGTTTGTTTGTCTGACCCCAAAGTGTCCAATCACGGCTTGAGAGGGGAGCCGACGCACTGAAAGGCAGCCATAGATTGGGTCAGTGTGTGTGTGTAAATCAACTCCATGTGTGTATATTGTGTTTGTAAATTAGTCAGCATCTGTGATGTTATCATGCTCGCGTCAGCAGCTCCTGAGCCCACGTCTTGATGGCCGAGGTTGTGTGTTGGAGCAGCTGCCACGTTGAATTGGTGAAGGACAAAGCGTGGCCCTGCAGACACGATACTGACACCTCGCCGCTGCAGGAAGAACAAAGAAAGCACGTTTGAGAGTTTGCTCTTAAACGTACTGGTTAAGAAAATAACTTTTGACTTTTTGATTTGGATACCAAGTTTGGGATGCACCAGCTATTTGTAAATCAATCACTGTAGTGTTATTCGTAAAGCCATTCCCATGGTCTTCGTAACTACTAGAACCTAATTTAAAATACTGATTTACTGAAGTGGACTGCACCATTAAAACTTGAGAAAGCTAGTAAAGACCAAAGTAAGCTGGAAATAGGTTGCTGAAAAGTCCCAGTGGGGTCACGAGCTAGAACAAAATGTATTTATTAAAACATCTTTTTATATAAATTAGGGCAGAAACTATTTAATTATTGATTAATGTGCTGATTATTTTCTTCATTATTCAATTAACCTAGAAAATGGAGAAATATGGCAATTACAATTTCATATAGCCCAACAGTCCAAAACCCCTGGACCTTTAAATGTATTGTCATACAATTTTGTTATTTGAGGTATGTTGTGTTATGTTTCTGAAATACAATTGAACTAGTTTACGTTGTATAACTGGTTTAATTCATTGACATATAAACCTCCACTAAGTAAACACTATGTTAAGTTTTAACTTACAAACAGCTGGTGCAGCCGGCTCCTGACACCCTTTTTAACGGCAGATGAAAATGTAATCCAACCAGCTCACATTCATAAAAGTGGGGATACAAAATAAACAAAGCCAGGAGAAAGGATGCCTGAAGGTACTGACTTGCAGGAGTCCTGTAGGTTGGTCCATGCTCGTTGTAATAGGTCAGATATGTACGCTAACGCTGGCCGGATGTAGTTCTGATGGAGGGAGAGTAGAAGCTCCTTTAAATACGCCAACACCTGGAACACGCTGTCGGGAGTGTTGGTGTTCACCTGAGCAAATATACACAGAGGTAAAATCCACATTAGTGACATAAAATATGTTTCCAGTTCCATCTTATTAGCTCCAACTCTTTGATTCAAGAGAAAACAAATTCAATCTATAAAATCAACACTTAAAACAGTTTTACATCCATGTATGCACAGTCTTACCCATTCTATGGCCTGAGGTGTCTTTTCTTTGACCCAGAGAATAAACTGCGTGGTGTTTTCAGAGATGAAGATGGCTGCTGTTTTTGCCTTTTCCATGCCTTGTTCCATTAGTGGCCCCACAACCCGCACACACTCAGAGTAATAATGAGGAGTGTTTGTCTCCAACCAGCTGCAGATAATACAAAAACACACAATACAAACACAAGTTAAATAGTGTATTTGCACAATCAGTAAGTATTATATAGCACATCCATTCATAAAAAAAGTTATATGGCACACAACAACCCTAACCCCTGGTGAGAGTTCATAAAGGTAACTGCTATTACTGCTGTTGTACATTGACACTTGTGGACAATTTGTACAATAGCATGCATGATTTGAGTGTAGTTATTTTTATATATTTTTTAAAAATGGAGGTTTGGCAGATGTTTAAATAGTTAAAACCTACAGTAGGATACTCTCCAGTGTACTAAATGCATTTTAATGTAGATTGCAGTTTTATAAACTCTGATGATCTGTCCAGGCACCACCTTTATCGTTCTTCCTCTTCTTGGGAGCAACAACAACCGTATATTTGGAGGAAGTGGCTCAGATGACTGATTGTGGAATGTTTTGTTTACTTGTGATTTTTTTAGATATGGCAACAAAGATTTTGCTGTGGTGGGTCAATGTCAGTGGAAACAACTGTGGATTCAAAACATGACATTGGAAAATGTTTCTGCTAACACTGAGTCAGTAAAGCAGACAGTGAACAAACTGCTTTGAATACAGGACGTGAATCCGAAGCAAGCTTGATAAAGAGCTATTTTTATGCTTCGGTTTGACTGGCCGATGGTCAGATAGTGTACAACGGTCAACAGAGGCAAAGTCTAAAAAAGAGCCAGAAACAAATTCTACCAATATCTGGCAAACAGTGGATGGTTATTCAGGTAGTTTGTCAGAGGAGAAGGCTACTAATATAAGGTGTATTGGTCAAAGGTTTGCCTCACATACATGTGTTAGGAGTTAAGCATGAATGTCGTACCTGAAGCCTTGTTTGGTGTAGACTGTTATTTTGCTCCAGGCCTGCTGAGATACCGCTGTGACCCCTGAGTTGCGAAGATGCCTGGCTGTGGTGGAATCTGAAACACACGACACACATTGTGAGACCTCAAAAATCACACAAGAAGACTAGTGACTGTGGTGAGTAAACAGGACTCAGAGGGACCTGCGAAGGAGCCTTGGGATCTGATGTCATGAGCGATGAAGCCAGCAGCAAACACGAGCAGAACCATGAGCAGTTTGGACCAGGGGAACCCGCGGCCACGCATCTTCACCTGCAAATTCTGGAGACAGAAAAGGAAATACTGAGCAAAAACTTTACAGAGACAAAATACAAATGTATACTTTAGTGTTTGACAATCTAAGTGTTTGGTGCATTCGTATTCTAGAGGTGCCTGGTAAATAAAAGGGGCGGAAAAATGCTCTTTTCATTGTTCCTGATGCGTTTTATTATACTCCTTAATTACAATTACAATTAAAAGGCTATCTATGCCTCCATGAGATGAGATATGGAATAGGTAAGTGCTTCATTTGATTGAAAAGTTTGTCTTAAATCAAACCTGGGACGAAGCAGCTTACCTTTTACACTGGATTTTAAAATGAAAACTAGTTTTAATCATTACTTGATTTAAATCCAATACCAATTATCACTGTTTAATCTCACCTGGCACAGGTTATTGCACTCCTGAAGGTCCTGAGATTCAACAGTGTCTCTCATCTCCTCATTCGTCACCCTGAAAGACTGGATTGTTTCTTCAAGGTTCTTCCGGAGCTAAAGATGAAAAATAAAGCACAAGTAATGAAGCACACAATCATCTAAAATACCACAAAGGAGAGTTTACGCTTCTCCAGAACATTTATCCTTTATTCTTAACTTAAAGTCTGCTTGTTTAATCACACCGAGCCTGAATTAAGCCGTAACCCACTGTGTTGGCAGGAGTGTAAACATGCCCTAATGCTCTAATTAAATGTCTAGGGAGCTTGGTTTATCAAGCCTCATGCCAGGAGTCGTACCTTTGGTGGCAGGATATTCCAGGACTTGAATAAATGGTTCAACAGCAAACTGGAGAAGAAAAAAGGAGAGAGGAACAGTCAGCTCTGTAAAATGGTTGAAATCCAGAAATATCATTTTAAAATACAATTGCATTTCACTTCTGTGGAAATTTAACTACGACATATACATTTGCCACAGAGGATTGCTGTTTAATACTTCTCACAGTTTCAAGGAAAACAATGTGCATGACTCACCTGGACTGGGGTAAGTGTTTGGTATAGAGCTGCCTCCACACTCCTAGACTCTGTACATCCACACACAAACACTCTGTCATACTGCTGAGCAGCTGCAAAAAAAAAAAACAAGAGGAAGAAAGAGAGAGATAGAAAACTTAATTTTATTTCTGATTAAAAATTCTATTCATTTCTTCTTTCAACTCCTAGAGTGCAGCTGAATTTTATAGTGATCAAACAATAGGGATAGCAGATCATGACCACATCCTATGTTTTACTGTTAAATTAAATGCCGTTGAAGCAGACCAAGAAATGCTGTTATTTGTCAGCAGCAATATTTGACCAGTTCACCAGTGGATGGTTATAAAGATTGCTACAATGTTTGAGAGTTTATTTTCCTTGGCCATTTGCCAATATGCTATCTAGATTGTTTATGAAGTCACCTCACAATAATAAGGTTATAACAATCTGACCAACTGTTGATAGGTCACTTATCAGTATGATTCATGCTGCTGCACTGAGCTAAAGTACACTCAGGCTTCTGTAGCAGCAGTAGTATCTGGGTACATGTGTGGGTCTTACCTCTCTCTTCATGTCATCTGGACAGTGTGGTGTGGCTCTGGACAGAAATGATGGCAGGTATGTGTGTAATGTGCTCTCGGGTTTGGCTCCAAATGCAAGGACCTTCAGTCGAGGGTACAGACGCCTCAGCTGCTCCTGCAGACTGAACACAAACAAATGGGTTTATTACTTTTCACAAAGGCAGCAACAGTCACTGGGAGGTAAAGATCATTTAAAACAGCACTAAGCTGTGATCAGTGTGTTCAAAAGTACACATACAATGTAGTAGAAACAGGGTTTTCTGCACGTCTTCCAGCTAAAAGCAGCTGAATCAGGTGCTTCTCAGTTCAAGGACAGCAAACTTGCAGAGAACAAAGGAGGACTTCACAGCCTTCAATTGTGTAAACAGACTAACATTTCAACATTACTGTGTTTTCACCAGACTCAAAAAGGCATTTAATTCCCCCATTCCCACAGTAGTGGTCTTTGTTCTCTGCAAGTATACACAAAATGCTTTTACATCCAAAAGGGAGATAACGGAAACAATCGATGTAGTAACATTATATAATTTGCAAAATCAGCGAGATTCAGAAAACCCAAAAAGTCTTACAGACAAATGGTAACTATATAAATGGAAAAAACAGTATTGTCCAATGGGACAATTTTCCAAAGGATTAAAAATAAAAACCCTCAAATTGAAAATGTTCCAGTTCTAAAAGAGAGATGACATTCCCAATAATCTTCCTAAATGACCACCAATGGCTTCGGTGCACACAGTCACTCTGCTCTTCTCTTCCCAAAGTCACTTCTTGTGGTTGTTGGATTAGGCATAATTTGGGGTTAAGCATCCAGACTAAATTCTTCACACTCACTTGCTCCTACACTATGCAGTCATGACTTACACATTGGGTTTATTCAACAATGAATGAGTGATTTGAATCAGTGTTTGCAATTTATTACATTTACCTTGATGACAGGGCATTCTTAGGCATGAAGGCAAAATCCAATAAAGGAAAGAACTCTTTAGGACCCATGATGCCAAATCCCTTTGTCAGGTTTGCATGAAGTCTAGGAAACGAAGGATAGGAAGCACAAATTGAAGAGTCAAGATATAGTTGAATATATATTCAAACACATACATAACTAATACTACTACTCCTCCTCCTCCTGCAATTAATTCAAAAGGAAGACAAGACCAGGAACCATCACGATAGTAATTCAAGCGTTTACCTACATTTTTCAAATGGAATGCAAGTGGATTTTTTTACCCAAATAAAAAAAAAAGTCACATAATTCTCAGAAAGACTTACAAGAGAAGTCTCTCCAGATATGCAATGGCATATGAAGACAAGGACTTCACTCCCAGCACAGGAAGCATGATACCTAGCCACACTGAAACACAAATAAAGAACTTGATTCATCACACAGGAACTTTTAGTTCTGGCATCAAATGAGTCAACAGTTGGCCCAGAGCCATCGCAGCAGCAAAACAAGGCTTTTGTTCTTGCCTGCTTAATTATTTAAGGAACAGGATGAAACAACAAACACAAAGTTAACTAAACTGGTGAAAACTAAATAAGCATAAATGAGCTCTGCAGGAATATCTTCTGTGTATTATTCAGATTCTTCACTGTTATTAGTCTGTAATGTTAAATGCACTCAGATTCAGATTCCCCACATCCATTGCATATCGCACTGGAAACATTTCAAGTTGTGCACATTTGCCAAGTCTAATCAAATTAAAGCCTGGGGCTCAGACAGGAAGCTCTTGAATGCCTTTTAAATTCTTGATAACAAGATCAGAGTATAAACATTTTAGAGAAGCTATCCTGTTTATTCTGATTAAACACCCCAACATGTAGATAATATGCAGAACATTTTGCATTTGTAACTTTTCAAACTGCTTCAGAATGAGTTGAACTGTGTACTTTCTTGCCTTGGGCAAGTTGAGTGGTACTCAATCGTCTTATTTTTCAGATGAGGTTTGTTATGTAATTTTCCAAGAATATGCCCACATACAAACACCCACCTGTGTCCCACCTCACAGCTTCACCAAATAAAAAGGCAAAGACCTGACACAGCAGCTAAGCTTTTTTAACTTTCCATGTGTTTAAGCTCACAGATGGCCGTCAGTAGATTAGTAGTAGAGTGTTACTGCTCTAATGCGCACTGTTGCTTCATTAACCCCCAACCTAGAGTTTCTGTCTGCACATAATGTTGAGAAAGTGGGAGAAAGGGGATACACAGACACAGATGAGTAATTCTCTGCAGAGGATGATAAAATACTGTGTCTACATATCTAAAGTATGTGCTATGAGTATATGCTTTGTAGTTGTGTTTGACTGTCTTTTACCTCTTAGTCCCTGGCTGAGGTCATGAAATCCTGCTTGGCCAAGAGCCCACATGATGGTCAAACACTTCACCGGACGATTCTGGACTGACCGCAATAACTCCAAATACTAGACAGGGAAGGAAAGGATATTACTACATATTGTTGCAAGCTTATTGCAAAAGACAAATGCCCAGTGTATTGGATAATAGCACTGAAACCGAGTTGGAAATAGGGAAGATAACCAGGTTTCATACAAGAAAGCAATAGTACATTCAGAGCAGACAAGGGCAGTGAAGCAGTAATCTGCTAGTTGTCTGCAGGACTCAAGGACACACACTCACCTCTGGCAGGTTTTGGGTGGCTATTTTGGGTTTGTCCTGTAGGATTGCCTGAATGCAAACTCTGTAGCCATGCAGAGGTTCTCCTGAAAACAGAGAGGGAAAAGCTGTTGGGTGTTTTTCAAGGTTTGTTTTTTGTGTCACTGACCATTTCAACAGAGCAGCAGCATCTAAAGTTTTGTTTCTCAACCGACTTCTCTCTGTGTCTTTTCCATATGCCACTTCATGATGCATTACCAAATTGAATTTCAGAAGTGAGCTGGGTGACTTAAAACGTAAAGCTTAAACTCTGGTCACTTAATTGCACATTTGTAAAAGTACCTATGTACATTGGAAACAACAGTTATGAAATGTGGGAGAGATGATGTGGCGTGACAATAATTTCACTCATTCATGCATCACTTAGGTCTTGGTCCACAGTGCCTACAGTACCTGACTGTCTGTCCAGCTCCCTGAGCATCGTATAAACACAGTGGTCGAGGAGATCTGGCAGAAAGTCACTGCAACGTCCAATGAGGCCTTTGATCACGCCCTTCAGCTCTTTCCCTATAAGGCAGTACGGGTAATCTGGGGAAAAAAAGACATGAAAGTGGACATTAAATAAGCTGCAGAAACTTTTAATACCTTATAGTTTGTTAGGGATATTGAATATGCACAGTGTTTCCTTCTTAAAGTCTGACTTTGACTGACCGTGAGCATAGCTGCTGAGTGTGGGCTCAGTCTCTGGCGCAGTCAGATTGAGGTTGAGGTATCCTGCCAGGTCTTTGACCCACACTGAGGGATTTTCTGGAAACAGGGTCTGACTGCGGGCCAACTGCTGCTTCAGGTCCCCAACATCCAACTAAAAAGAGAACAAGACAGAGAAAACATTAAGGCTGTATACTCCGAAACAACACATCCATTATGCAAACCTGAGACTGCCTTTCAGCATGTGATTGTCACAATGCAGCACTGTTTGTGTGTTTATATGAAGATATTTATAGCTACAAAGCCTATAACATTTTTTTTTTGTCTTTCCATTCACTAGACAGATTTTTACACTGCTATTGAGAATGATACATTACCAGTTTTAATCTTAAGATTAAGCAGTAAACAAGTTGTTTTAGGGCAAAAAGTGCACACAGAATCTTCATAATAATCATTAAGAAAGAAATAAGAATGTTCAGCTTTGTTTAAGCCTTTAGATTGTCAACAAACTTCAACGTCTCAATTTCTCTTTTTAAAAATGTGGAGAGGCATGTGCATTACTCACCGCTTTGAAGGCTTCCTCGAGGGTCTTGTGAGTTGCGGGGGCGACTGTATTGCTGGAGTGTGCTTTCTTGGATGGTTTACTTGATGAGGGCTTCTTATTTTCAGGTTCTGCTGGTGGAGGAACCTGCTCCTTGTTCTGTTTCTTTCCCATCTTCTCAAAGCCGTCATACAGGGTCTCTGACATCTTCAGGGGCGCTGAAAGAAACAAGGCAGCAATGGTTAGACACGCCTCTGTGCGGATATAAGCCTCTTTTCAAACTTCTTTGGTCTCTAACACTTTCTTACATTCACTCGGTGTCCTGAAAGTTAATCTATGAAACCACAGCATTCCCCTTGCCGGTTGCTCCCTCCTCCCCTCACATTCAGTGGTTCCACCCTCCCTCTACGTCTTGCGTAATGGGTTGTTATTATCCCAGACAGTATTCATGCAGCACTCATTACAGTTCACAAAGGAACAGAGTTAAGCATTATCAGCACTTCACATATTCCCCTGTGTTACTTGTTAAGACCTCATTTGTAAACAAACTGTGTCCACTTCAACTGAGTTCATATCAGAGCTCGACCAGTTTAAAGTTTTGAAGGTCAATACTAATATACTACGTGTATTGAGGTTAGCGAACAGCAGATATTTTAGCCGTGTTTACTAATATTAAATATCAAAACAATCTGGTTTTTATCTATTTATTATTTAGTTTTCGGGGATTCCAGAGAACATTTATTTTTCATTCCCAGGATATAAAATCATCTGAAAGGATGAGGCTGACATCATTCTACATATTTCAATTATTATTGTCAACAAATCCAACAATGTGTTAGTCCGTCGATACTTTCTGACTTCCCTTTGCAGTCTGTGGCTCTCACTCTTTTTTCTTTAAAGGAAGTCATTTCCTAACACAGCTGGGCACAGTCGTTTTTAGTCCATTTTTGTCATTTTTGTTCTACTCAAACAGCAGGAAATGGTGCATTTTTTGGGGTCCATTTTCAGCTGCAGATTAATACACATTTTGCCTGAGTATTTGTGGCAGCAGGAAAGTGTATGTGGGATCGACTCAAAATAAACTACAGTGTCCATGCTCATTATGATGAAAAAACACGTCATCTAGTGCAAAACTATGGCTCATTAATTTGCTTTTTATATAGTTTTTGGACAAAAATGGAGGTCTATGGCACAGAGGTATTGGCTCAGGCTTGAATATTGCTGGCTTTATCCAGTAAAACTCTAATTTAAATCCATACTATTAATATTAAATATCCTAATTCCTAATTTATGCAGCAAAGATATTTAATTTAACAATGAGCCCACATGACTGGACTCAAGACTCCCAGTCAGACCCACCCACAGACCTGAATCCACGTTGACAGAGGTCACCAGTTGTCCACTGATCATTCAGCTGTACATGATGCTGACAAATCTAAATCTAAATTGAGTCTGCGTGTGTCGGCACAACACAGGACTGTGCATAAGAAAGAGACTTCACAGTCTCAGTGCTCAGGTCTCACTCTAGGGCCATAACTTCTTATCCAAATATTGGTAAGTCAGGACTATTATTCACTTCACTGGGACTGAAATAATAATAATAAAACAGACAGACTGAAGTCATGAGTAACATTTCGGAGTCTTTTTTCCTCACCGCCGAAACCAGTTGTCATCTCTATGAATGTCTCTGCTTAGTAAGCATTACTCGAAGCACTACCTGAATAGTGAAGGAAGCACTAAAAGAGGAATGAGGTAACCTGACCAGATTTCCATGTCTATTATTACAAAACAAATATCCATAACGGTCAGGAAGCTGGTCGTTTCCAGCAGCAGCTCCTGACATGACAAGACATCTGCTACAGTGAAATACAGTTAAAGAACAAGTGAGGCCACTCGACTAGGAATATTTGAAATATGTAGACAACTTTACCCAAATGTCCGATGACACAGAGAGACAATAACTAATAACAAATGAATTGACACTTGTTGATGACAGGACTAGAGGTGGGCACAATTAATAGAGAACATTGGTTTATCTTTGCCTTGAAAATGAGACACTGCACGGTGTTTTTGTTTATAATTCACTTTGAGATTACTTTTAAAGCGCTCAATAGTTTGCTAGCGGTACGGCTCGCGCAGTGAATTTATAGTTTATAGCATTACACTATACTTTCCGCATTGGTCTAAATATTCTGACTGAATTATGATGCATTTTTAGACTGTTTGGGCACACCTGATAAGAGTTCACCGTTATTTTATTATCCATTTATTGGAAACATGTAAACTTTGTTAATGTTTGTGGCGGCTGGCATGCAGATGTTAAACTGTGTGAAACATTTGAATACAACCCAGCCTTCCACCTGTGTAGATGAAACTATAATTTCTGCTAAATTGCAAAACACATGAAAGGCTCCTGGCTAGAGCAGGGTTTTTGAACCAGGGTTTGTCCATTCTGAGCTACTGTAGAAACATGAACCGTCCCCTCTGCAGATGAAAAAGGCTCATTCCAAGGTAACAAAAGCACAATAATTCTTATTTTCAGGTGATTTTACACTAATGAAAACAATTCCCATTCTTTCCTATTAATTGACTCAGTGAAAACTTGGGAAGGATTTTGTGTAATCATAGGTTGGTAATAGACTGTAGGTCCTAACCTGCTGAAATTAAGTTGTCATGATGATGTCTAAACCTTCATTGGATCAGTTTCAGTAGAGTGCAACCGATCTTGTTATTTGGATTCGGCATCACCTTAAATGTTGGCATAAATACTACGACTTAGTAAAGTTGTAGCTGGTAAGGATTCAAAATCCAAAAAAAGACTTGATGTTTTGTCTGCTGTAATTCTCCGTCTCTCCAGTGGAGCAGAAGCTTCAGTGGACATTCAAGTCACATGTTTAATCTACGTGTCCATTGTACTTTGTGTCCATCAACTTTAGCCTAAAAATATTTTTGCAATACTTTGTAGGTTTTTTTTGTAGGCAAATTGAAAATATGCACAAAAACAAATGGATGTAAACTCACCTGTAGATGTGACATGTCAGTGATGATACAATATTACAAAAGCCATCGGTGTCTGAAATCTCAATTTACAGAACTACTCGTTTTAGTGTCAGCCTTGGTGTCTGTAAGCAGAGGGTCTTGGTGGTGTGGTGTAATCTGAGTAGAGGCAACCAACAAGGCCTTCTTACAGGGTGGGTGGACTCCAGCGGACTCTCACACCAGCAGAAGAATAGCTGACGGGATGCTTCACATATAGATACAGAACCAAACCACATGCAGACACTTCTCAACAACGCAGAACAGACTAAAGCAAAGTCTTGCTTCTCTGATCACACGGTTTTTCTATATAACTGTGGGATCGCCAACAAGACAAGAATTTTGACGTAAAAGATTATGTATTTTATGTATTTACTGTAAGGAGGACTGACAAATTAACGCCAATACAGATATTAAACTGTTCTACAGACATCATTAGTATACAGCAGATTGGAATTTACAATTTCTATTAAATGGAAAGGGAACTTAGATAAAGAAGACTATTTTAAAAAGCGTAATATCTAGTAATTAGTAATAGTAAAAAAAAGTAAGTAACAGGTGGGATGATGTATTGTTTTTTTACCCGCGTTAACAGCATTCAAATTTAAAGGGACAATTAACACCGAGATAAAGTGTCCAGGAAAACTCTGTATGTATGTAAATGTATCAACACAAGTACAATTATTACATTTATGTGTCATGGAATATAAATTATTTTAATTGTTAGATATTCAAACTTGAAAAACGTGACATGGCACCAGCACAAGCTCTACACTACATCACACACACAAAACTGTTCATAGCACAATAACAGTGTCACCAACTTCACGTCTGGTACAGTTAAAAGAATTTGGGAATGTTGCGGGAGACTGAGGAACAAATTTAATTTCAAGCACTGCTCCTTCAATTAAGTAACCCAAGTATGTGGCATGTAAATCAACCAAACATGTTGGACTTGACATAATCACTTCTGTTGAAAGAAGAGCCCTTGTTAGATATCCTATAACTTGTGTAGACATGATGTGACACATGTCCAATATATATATATATATATATATATCACATCAGCTGTCTTAAATATGACCTCAAGGTGAAGGTATGTATGTAAAAAGCTGTGATACAGACATTGTAGACTGCAGGGCAAAGCCTGAAGAAAACTTTACAGAAAACCTCTTATATTTTTCCACGTTTGTCCGATTAAGTGATCTAAAAAGAAGGACTGTGCCTAAAATAAGTCTAGTCTCACCTTTTAATGATGGTTTCAAGCAGAAACAGGCATTATAAGTAACACTTTTCTTTCCTGGTGTTGCTTTGTGAAGATGCCTGCTCTAACAGATACAAAAGCCTGAAGCCAAACGCCGAAACCACAAACTCAACACAATAGCCTTGTGATTCAAGTGTTGGAATTCCTTTTAAGGGAATAAATTGATTATTATTGATCGTGTTTAAGAGATCAGCATGTAATTATTTGTAGAGCCTGGTAAAGCTGAGGCACACCTTCAGGGGAAAAGTATGAGCCTGGTTACACTGCAAATAGCAATTTAGATTAAATACTATGTGGTTAGAGAGTTTATAAAACAAAAAGGAGAAGGGCATTTATTTTAGACAAAACCTAAACACTGACACGGTCACTGTGATCACACAGACAGACTTTGAACGAGCTGATTCACTGATAGCAATGGTGCATAAACAAATAGCAGTGGCAGAGTGAGATCTAATCTTTCTTTAGAGGGATCTTATCTTTTCTGTCACCCATTATTTAGGTCAGTGCCACACCTGTGGAGAAGGAGCAAACAATCCAGTGTGTAGGTTTTCTATACTGGAATATTACCTGGCCCCAGGTTTGCTGTATGCTAATTTGATTAAAGACAAATTACTTATAATACATATAAGGACAAAACTGATAATGAAGATCTTGAAATTAGATTTTAACACTCTTCAAGAGAGGGCTTCAAAATCAGGCAATAAACCCTGACACACTGTTAGGCCCTTATCATGTCAGCTGATGTAACGTTAGTGCTTTCAGTGGTGGTCAATTTGCTTAAAGTGATTGAGGCACGCTAAAGCCTGGAGCTTTCAGGGACCCCAGTTGTCCTCTTTACAGTTTGTAATCCAGTCTTCACTGTGTAGAACTGTGCAGAGTTTTGTAACTTCACTTTGATTTACAAGAGAAAACCAAATATTACTGTGTGACAAAATATAAAATCCCCCACTGCATGTGCAGAACTTCAATTCAGGTATATATAATTATACTGTCCACTATTATTCCATAAAGGATAACTTTACGCTATATATATATACACATTATTATTGTCAACAAAACCAGCAATGTGTTTCCAGGTCACTGCTCATTGACTCCAACTGAAGACGAAAAGCTTCAAAGACGGGTTTAGAATAAAAAGGGAACCTATTTCTCTCTCTTTAAAGGCTGAATCAGTTTCTACTGTTTGTCTACTGCGCACTAAGTTTCATTCAAAGCAGCGTATACTGCATTTGCTGGGGACTATGTTCAGTAGCAAGTTAAAAAAAATAAATAAGAGCATTTAGTGCACAACCTTTATGAGACATGTAAATGTCCCGTGTTTATCATTATGAAGTAACACGTCATTCAGTTCAATGGTAGGTTTTTAATAGTTTCTGGACAATAAGGAATTCGTTATATCAGCCTGTGGTCAATTCAGTGTTATTTGTTTTCATTAGATTTGTTGACAGTAAGAATAATAAATACTACTGGCAGCATTACCCTTTAATAAATCACGTAAAGAGGGGGAAACATTGGATAACCACACTGATAAGAGACCAGAGAACACAGTGGAAATCCCTAATTAATTACCCAAACGTTTCACGGTGCAACTACAAAGTAACACCAGTCTGAAGATACATTAAAGAGCAGCAGAACAAATAAAGGTCACATCAGTGGTGAACATCAGAGACGAGCTCCCTCACTGACTGACACACTGCTAGCAGGCTAACTGCGTGTGTCCACAGCTCACAGCCCGGAGAGGATTGTACGGTGTTACTTTTAAATGAACGTGTCAGCAGAGGAGCTGAAGTAACGTTATAGAGAAACTGGTCAGCTCCTGAATGGGGCAACACGGAATCGACCGCAGGAAGTCAGTGTTACTGCGCGATGCTATGCTACAGGGGCTAGCTTGGGAACATCATGAGACAGTCAGGAGCCATTGTAACCTTTTATCGTTATTAACACGCCGTGGAGTGAATGTTAAACAAAGGCTGTATGCGTAGAAACTACAGTGTTTGTTTAAGGTAACGGGGAGCCGGGGAGCCAGAGAGCAGCGTACAGGAGGCCCTCCGTGTTCACTTACGTCTGGACGGCAGGTTGGACTCTCCCAGAGCTTTCCGTCCCCCGCTGCCGGCTTTCTTCTCGCTCGGGTTCTTCGCTCCTGCCGCGCTGTTGTTCTTCTTCCCTTTCTTCACCACCTCCCATTTGCCGACGGAGCCGTTGTTTGACGCCATGTCTCCGTGTCCAGATGTGCTGATGTGCTGATGTTAAGCTCGGTGATCTGTGACTTCCTCCCCTGCTGAACGAGGCTGATGACGCTCCCTCAACGGCTCCCTGCTCCTTTAAACCGTCCGCGTGCCACGTCTCTTTGTCGGCGTGACGTCGGAGTGACGCGTTCCGACCGTTAGTTTCATTTCTCTGAAGTCCGTACAGAGCTAACTGCTAACTGACGTTTTTATTGAAATATCTTAAATGTTTACCTCAATTAACCCTGACTGTTGTATCGTTTATTTGATTTTCCGCTATGTGAATGTCGAAAGTGTTTGTAGTTTTAATTAAACAGTGATATGTGAAATGTAAATCAAAGTTTTGTTTAAAACAGACTTTTAAAAATGCCGCCTGCTTACAAATTTGAACCAGCAGTTATCAGTAAACAACTCAAAACAAATATCTTCACAGACAGATCTATCAGCATTAATGTGCCTATAAACTATAGGTCGATTCATTCATTAGCCAACAATTTGATAAATCGTTGTCATTTTTTAAATTAATTCTTTTCTAGCTTCTTAGACATAAATATTTTCAGTTTTCTATGATAGCAAATTGGAAAATTGGCATCTACACTGACAAGCAGAGCAGTTATGTCACAGATGTTATCAGTATATCCCTGTTGGTATAATGGGCATACTAAAAGAGTAACAAAACTGCAGTGTTTGGATGTGTCTATCATCGTAAATGTCTATTTTTAATCATTTCAAATTGAGAATAAGTCAACAAAATATAAGGAGTTTGGTTAAGGGGTTAAATTATGTCCAAAAATTCTAACATAAGGCATAAACAAATAATACAATAATACAGTGAAATATAGAAACTCAGTTTTGGACAAAGTGTTCAGCTCATTTCCATCTTCCTGTTAGGGTTATTACTTATATAAACTGGATCTGAGAGGGGAACAGGATAACGCAAAACAGTAGCAAGAGAAAGGCAATGATGGACGGCAGGTTGTAGTGAGTTTCCATCTGGAGGTTGCTTAAAGCATTTAAACTCCTGCACTAGGATTGTATTGTCTCATCCCTACAAGCTCTCTGTTGTAGGCTCCATCGTTGACAAGTGCCAGATACATTTAAAAACCATGGGCCTGCTGTAGTCTTCTGTCTGGCTGCTGTCTGTTGAACAGACGGTGAGTTTTGGCTGCAGAATCTCTGAAAAGAGGCACTTAGTGTTTGGCACAAAACTCCTGGATCTCTTTCAAGACTATGTTCATTGGATCTGAATGGAAACTTAACCATTGACCACAGTAGACGTCCTACTGGGTCAATATGTTAATCTTCCCAAAATAGTTTTTGAAGCATGGTTGACTTCTTGGCAACATGACGGCAAGAGTCAACATCCTTATGGTTTCACTGTGTGTGTGTGTGTGTGATGTGAACACTTGCCAGAGCTTAAGACTGGTAATAAAATAGATACCCCTTCAGATAAATGAGCAGAAACATGGCAGATAGCACACACAACGATAAGGTTGGTTACTTTTTCTGAACCTCAGAGCTTTATTTCATTCCAGCAGTAACTCCAAATGATGCAGGTTGATCACATGGCAACAAACGGTTAGAGAGGGTTGGATGTTTTGTTCTCTCGGACTGGTCCAAGTACTGTCAGTCACGCTCAGCCTGGCTGTCAATCACAATAAACCACACCCATACTGCCTTGGCAGCCACTGTGGCGTTTTAACGCTTTGCAACAAAACTCAGTTAAATAGCAACAGAAAAATAATGATAGCAGCTACAATGTTTAACTCAATTAACACAGTCAAACATTAGTATTTAGTAGTTTCTGTCTGTCGTGTTAATTCCTTTTTTTTTTTTAACATTCATTCATAGAATTCAAAGCCTGACGTTTGTCTGATAAATAACTTCTACACTGACGCCTCTGACTTGGCCATTGAGGACTTCAATGCAAATAAAAAACAAACATCTTTAAAACAAATCTACAAAATATAAAATAGCATCTTTCTATATCTTTCTGGCTTCAACCAGTCACTGCATGTTGGCATTTTGGATCATTTCAGTTAGTTTGTTTCGCTACATTTAGTGCAATACCTTCCCCAAATCCAAAATCGCATATTTTTTTTCAGAAACTGTAGAGATCGGATTTAATAAAGATCAATAAATAAACAAAACATAAATACATCATGCTGTCTCAAAAACAAGCTGTCAACAATTTCAGAAGCAAACCCTCTGGTGGGACAAATTTATGAATAAGAGCATACTCTGTGGTGCCTATACATGTGAGCAGTTCAAAGTCTGATATGTCTGCGGGCTAAATGTACGTTCACGTGTCATCATGTCCAAAATATATGTGCAGGCATCTCTCCTAAGGGGTTTCACACCTTTTATAATCTCACCTTGTGAAATCTACAGCCAAAATATCCTACAAACTATCACATTATGTGGAAAACATTGTGTGGTTTCATATACAAACTCTGCACAAACCCTGATGTGCCTCTTTATGTGGTCACCAATCAAAGTGCATGGTGGGAGAAAGTGTCTCTTTAGATAGACAGATTGATAGCACTGTTGGCTCCAGGCCGTCAGTGCTGGATTCTTGTAATCTCATTGTTATTACCCTTAAACCTTTCACAGACTAGCAGGCTGAACTAGCCCTGTAGTGCAGTTGTCCCCTCTGGTAACAGGCTAGAATAAGTTGAGTCAGGCTGCTGGGCCCTGGTCCAGACAGGTCTGGGTTAAGTGTCCTTTGCTAGTAAGAGTTTGGAAAGCAAGGCTGTGCAACAAAGTCGTAATGGATACAAAAATCAATCAGCCACAGAAAAGTTGGGAAAAGTAAAGGGGGGTTGTAAAAAATTAAATAAAGGGGGGCAAGAGGTGGTTTATGATAATAATGATCAGGTAGGTTAAAGGGGTTTGAGTTGAGGGTTGGGAAAGGTTGATGAAGGTGATGAACAGGTGAAAAATATTTCAAAATTCTTCTTGGTCTCCTTGTGCTCCTTCGTCGATCTCTTCATCCTCTGGGGGTGCAAATCCCTCCTACAAATGAAGCCTGAGGTCAGTGTATGGCAGGATAAACATAACACTTGTTTCTTTATTAAATCTCTTCTTGTTGGTCTTAATGAGGGTTTTCACCGCAGCGTTTCCACCATCTTGGGTTTGTATATGTTCTTGTTATTTTTGAGACATACCCTCTTGTCACATTACACCATTCTGCAGTGCTCGGGACTGATACAGCAGGAATACAAGCCGTCACTACCTCTTTGTACTCAGTGAGATACTTTATGCTGACTTGACACGTCACTTTTAATTATTTGATTAGTAACAGCTTAAACATTACATACAGTCACAAACACTGCAAAATGCTGTGATGGAACTAGAAGACAATTCTACAGAAAGATGACATGAAGACCCTCCACAACAAGGAATGCATAACAGAGGGATAAGTAGAAGTACTTAGTCAGTTTCTCAGTTCACAACTGAAGAATCCTTTTGGATGACAACAAAGCATCTTCAAGGAATCTAAACAACTCACGTTTCTCTTGACTAGGCACTTCAAGATATACCACAACACGGATAAAATAACCTTTACAGACACTTAAATCATTATTTGCTCGACAACACTACAAACTAGAACTTCGAATGTGATTATAGAGTTCAATCAAAACCTGTCTGTTTCAATTAAAACAAAACATTTACTGCATTTACATGCATTTTATGTAACTGAGTTGCAGACAGCTTTCTGTAGCAACCTGATTTTTTTCAAAGTCATGTAAACAAGAAACCAGGTTTCATTGATAGGAGTAGGAATTTTAGAAACCTGATTTCCCCAGCTAGATTTTTCCTGAAGAAAGCAGCTTTCTGTGCCATGTTTATCGAGACTTCAGTCAGGGCAGGTGTTGTGACAGAGGTGCAGAGGGATATAAGGATAAATCATTATGCTTAGACAACATGCATCCTCATATCTGAAACAGTCTAAATATAACTTAACTGATACAAAGTTGCCTCACTCACTCACACACAGACTCTCCTATATATCTGCATGTAACTAAATACTGTTCACTTTTCGACAGTGTAAAAATGTCCGTTGGGATGCATATTCTCTTTGTGTGATTTGATTGCATTTACCTCTGTAGCGTACAGTGTATCCATAATTTTAGTCAGAACTGGGTTATCGTTTTCATTTTCCTGACAGAGGAGCTCAATGTCTCTCAGCTTTCCAAAGTAGAAGTCCCTCTCCTTCTCCAGTCCCTCTACCGTCAGCTTTAGATCCAGCAGCTATGAGCAAAGACAGTAATAAAAACAATCAATATACCTAAAAGAAATGAGTGTGAATTTAATATAAAATATTTAATATTATTAAATTATTATATTACATATAGGTCAGGGTGTGTTTGGACCATTTAATATTGCACAAATCCACTGGACCAAACAAATCAGTATCTTAATCTGTAAAAAGTCTGTCAACTTGTTAAACTTTGGAAGAGTAAACATCCTCAGCCTCAAGGATCAATTAAAGCTATTTAATGTATTATATTAACAGACTCTAAAATGATCAACAGCCTGTGAATATGTTGAGTCAGTCTAAAAATCCTTGCACCCAGTTTTCATCATGGCACAGACCGGGCACAGCGACCTTGCGTTGGTATTTCATTATAAGAGAGCAGTGTTGGGCCAACATCTGGTTTTCTCAACATGCAAAGAGTGTCACAGTCAAATTCTGAGAAACCACGTGAACAGTGAAGTGAACCTTTAATGATGCAGTTTAATGTGGGACCTACACAGTGAAGCTGGTACATTGGTGAGGGGTCAAAGTACGAACTACTACTACAGGGTGGTACCTGCTGGTTGAGCTCTATGAGCTCAGCATCTCCTCCATTGCGGGTCATGGGAGTGTTTCTGCGGGATGATGTCATATTGATCTGCCTCTGGGGGGGGGGAACAGTCTTCGGTACCGTGGGTGATGTTCTCATGGGGCCTGGAAAACAGAAAAACATGTTTACATGTCTACACTTGTTTGGATGGATGCATTTTGATTGTGTTTTCAGTCGGCCGTCAGTTGTCTGTGTTAGACAACAGATTTGCTTAATTTCAAACAAATCAGTTGTCTACACTGGGCTTGCAATAGCTCATGCTTTACTTGCATATTATGTGTGTGAATTTGACCCAAATGATCTTTTATGTGTCTTTTTGTGGAGTACATGATTGCAAATTTCCAGTCCACAGAAGTACTGTCGCTGAAAAGTGGAGAGAGTGGAGACACCGACAAAGGACTTACACCTGTTGCGCAAAAATTCTTCCCCAAAGCTAAACTGTCTTCTGACCATAAAAAAAAAAAATCATCACGCATATTCAAGAGATGATGAAAATGTCCCCCATTTCACAAACGTTTTCTCAGACTCAAGGCTTTCAAAGCTACAAGTACAAAAGAAAACACCCACACATGCAAACACACACACATTCATCCTTTATAGGATATATTTACAGTGAGCTTTGATCTAATACCATAACCTCGTCCTTCTTAATAGGAGCAGTTGTTTTGGCGCGCGTCGTTGGGCATCGGCGTGTTTTAGCTTTTATACTTTTAAAACCAGTCAGAACAGAACAATCCTTAACCAAGCAACGGACAGTTTGAATGTAGGTAACACACTGAAAGCACTGACAAGCACACACACATGCTGGATCCAGGCAATGTTACCTGAGCGAGAGGATCTTTTAGGTTTGTGGAGAATGGGTTCACCTGGGTTAGAGGTGGGGATGTGGTTGCATGAAGAAGTGAGGGCAATGAAATGAAGCTTCTGGGTTCACACACAGCTGATTGTGTCAGACACACATAAGTGCATATGTATGGTACCTTGGTTCGGTGGAGGCGGCGTTCCCTCTTGGCCCTGTCGTGTCAGCACAGGGTCGTATTCTTTCCCGTCGTAGTTGGCGTCAAAAAACTTCTTAAACCACTGAAGGAATTCAAAGTTGTCCTGGAACTTCCCCTTCACCAGCCTTTCCACAGGGATGATCTGAGAGAAGTAAAGGAGATGGATAGAGAGGAGGAGGAGAGATTGAGAGTTGAGGAAGCATATGACAGAACTGCTACGATCAATATGTTTTTCAAACCGCAGCAGCTGCATATGGATCCATGAGGTGTCACAGTAATCACAGTAATGACGTTACCTTGGGATAGTAATTCTAGTCTTACTAGTGCTTCTTAAATTCTCTTTCTTCCCCTTTTCTTTGATGTTTCTTCTCACATATTTCAACAACTCTTAATCCATGCATTTATGAGTGTGTGCGTATTCTCACCTTGTCCACATTCATTCTCTTGAATGAAGCCTGTAAGACCTTGAAATTTTGGATGTATTCATGTTCCAACTTAGCATTGTACTTCACTTTCTTCAACAATATGCACCCTGGAAACAGCATGTCCATGAACTGACAGTAAGCCGCACCTAGGAGATAAATCACACACACAGATTCACTTTGAGAACTAAATAAACATTTTGAGTTTTATTGCAAGCTCACTCGACATTAAAAAATGTGTTTACCTGAACCGAGCTGCTCGATCTTTGTGTAGTTGAGATGCAGAGAGTCGTTTACCCATGCCAACATGTCATGACGACTCAGGTTCTCTATGGTCATAGAGGTGGAGTAGACATTCACCGCCATCCTCCTGCTGCACAAGAACACAAGCACAAGCACACCAATATTACTATGCAACGGTTTAATGATTGGCTTCTGAAGGCTGACAAGTATGCAACATGCTTCAACATAAATTAATAAACATTTAAATTAAATTACATTACATTTTATTTGCCACAGTTTTCATATAGAGCAGGTCCAGACTGTACTCGTAGGGGTGCGTACCTAGACTCACCAGGAGGTGGTGGTATGCAATAAGAAGTAATGGTACTAAAACAAAACTCAGAAGTTAAAAACCAGTTCAGGTACTGATTATGACTGTATCTTATATTTAAGAACATTACAAACATTACACATAGAGACGGGAACTGTTGGGTCTCTGTAAATTATTTTATAAGGAGTACGGATATGAAAAACTTTGTCTCTGTGTAAACACATTACTGAGAAAGCAGTAAGCTGAAAAGGTCGTTAAAGGGGAACTTGGCAGC